CTGGCGACCCCAAGGGGGAGGGCCTTCTCTGTGGGAGCTCCCACCCTCTGGAACGAACTGCCCCCAGAGATCAGGGTGATCCCTGATCTCCCTTCCTTCCGCCGCGCCCTCAAGACGTGGTTGTTCCAGCTAGCGGGACTGGCCTAAGGGATTTTAAAGGGGTTTTAATTACTTTTAATTTGACATATTTAAATATTTCATTTTAATCAAATTTTAATTAGGTATAATATGTATAATATGTTAGTATTTTATCCAATTGTCAGCCGCCCTGAGTCCGCAAGGAGAAGGGCAGGATATAAATGTAATAAATAAATAAATAAATAAATAAATAAATGAGATATCCAGATGTAGATAAGCATGTAATTGTCTCCTACATAAATTAAACCACAGTGCCATATCACATTTTGTTAAAAAAAAATAAAGAAAAATATGTTAATTTCCAAACCTTTAGTTCAAGAATCTAAAAGATTCTACCTTGCCAGTTATATCGAGGACAGTCCCCTTAAAAAAGAAAAGTTATTGCAACAGTTTGCTTCCCTTGTTTATGAAGTGTGAAATGCCCTTTTAAATATGTCAACTATTGTTTCATGTACCATCTCAATATTTCAGAAAGCTCTTTTGTTTGGTAAACATGACCAGAAGGTAATAAGGGTTTCCTGGAAGGGCTGTGAACTGTACCAAACAAAGTTGCTTGATCAGAAGAAGCCTCGGTGCCAAGAAAACAGAGATACAGATTCTGCCACCATTTTGCAACCTCCCACCGTTTGCATATTTTTAGTAAAGGGTTTCCTATATGGCTGATAAATTGGAGAATTTGGTTTGTGAAGGTTTAACATCCGAGGATTTCTTCTTGCCTTGAATGTCTTGAGGGAGAAAACATTAAATCTGCTCCCAGGAAACTGTCATTAGGATTTAATCTGAAAGAGGGCAACACTGTTTGGTAATCCTTGAGCAAGGCTTGGAAGAGAGACCTCCATGAAATTCCAAGGGTTAGGCCAGAGGTCACCAATCTTTCTTGGTTGGCGGACCAGAGGAAAAGGGAGGGGGAAGCATTTTACACGTGTGTGCACACACATGGGCCAGTGAGCATGTGCGTGATGCAAAAGGAGCGAGGCTAGCACTTGTGTGATACTTGCTAGCCCTATCCCATTGTTGTGTAGCACAGTGCTCTGTTTCCGCGCTCTGCAGCGCCCATTTTTGCACCCTGTAGCACGGCAGTGGCAGTCTGTTTTCATGCCCCACGGCGGGCGGCATCCAGTTTTCATGGCCCAAGGCATGGCAGCGTCCCATTTTCGAGCCCGCAGTATGGTGGTGGCCCATTTTTGTGCCCTGTGGAGTGGCATCCTATTTTCACGCCCTGTGGCCATGGCACTAGTGCAAGTGACGGGCCTGTCCTACAGCCCGGTAGCCAGTTGGCCACAGCCCACTACTGGGCCGTGGCCCGCAGGTTGGGGATCCCTGGCTTAGGCTAGACTGAGAAGAAAAACAGTGAAAAGACACTGGCAAATCACACTGGAATCTTGTGAGTAAACTAGTCCTCAACTTATGACCACAGTTGAGCCCAAATTTCTGTTGCTAGTTGAAACATTTGTTAAATGAGTTTTGCTCCATTTTATGACTTTTCTTGCCACTGCAGCTGGTAAATTAGTAACACGGTTGTTAAGTGAAACAGGTTGACTTTGCTTGTCAGAAGGTCGCAAAAGGTGATCACATGACCCCTGGACACTGCAACCATCATAAATATAAGTCAGTTGCCAAGCGTCTGAATTTTGATCATGTGACCATGGGATTGCTGTGATGGTCATAAGTGTGAAAAACAGTCATAAGTCACTTTTATCAATGATGTCATAACTTTGAACGGTCAATCAATGAACTGTTGCAAATCAAGGACTACCTTTATAGAATGTGTTATTCCTTCAGTGGAGCTCATTTTGATCAGATCTGCTGTTTCTCACAGAAACACGGAATGTGTGTTTATGTGTGCACATATGCACCGCTTTGGCTGACCTTTGATCTCTGTCTCTCCTTGCTTCCCTCCCTCCCTCCTTCACACAAATCTTCACTTGTTTGGGGATCCTCTGACGTCTAGGTAGTAATTAAGTCTGACATGAAGGAAGAGAATTGACCATTTCATCTTCCTTTAAAAAAAATAAAATAAACCAAGAATCTAATTGCAATAGACAAGCAAAGAGAAACTGACAAACCCTCATTAAGAGAGAAAAGAAGTAAGGGCATAGACCCTCCAGTTCAAAAAGCTAGTAATTATGGGCTATTTTTCTTCTTGGAAGATAAATCCTAAACATAATTTTGGGGCTTTCATTTAATGTGATAAATAGATTTGGATGCTGCAATTTTATTCATACTTGTCTCAACACCTTGTTCAATGCATTTCTTTGACTATTTGGACTAGACCTTCAAAAATAGTGGTCTTTCTAGATAAGCCGTTTATTTTGCAATTACTGTGCTTGATTCATCAAATAGTACAGGGTCAAACAGTTCAGCCCTTTGCTCTAATTCTTTCCACGTCTCCCACCATGCGTCCCACCCTTTTTCTAGCTATAGAAAATCCACATAGTGGAGGGGGTAGATGAAAAGACAAAATAGCTGTAAAATGCCTTTGGATTCATAGTGTTAGGAATCTACCATTAAAAACATTGCTTTATATTTTTCAACCTTTCATTTCCTCTGCACCCACTTCCTTTTAGAAAGTCAAAATAATATACCAAGAGAGAAGGACCTTACTTAGTACCCTTTAATTAGTCCAAATAAAAAGAATGCTTATTCATTGTTTGTGAATTTTTCTAATGAGACAACTCAGCTAATATGATTTCTGTCCATTCTAGCTAGTATTCATCCCAGCAAGATTCAAAGACTTTCTTCTTTGATACTTACAAAATAAAACTGGAAACGGAGCATGTGTTTGCACTAATCCAAACATCTTTATCTTCAACAGGAAACATTTTTCTTTAAACAAAGTTTCTTGCAGGGGATGAAACTTCCAATGGAACAGAAGATGGTAACCTAGCTTTTCTGGGTGTAAATTTCCTGATATTCTTATGGCCCTCCAAAATTAAATTGATTTTTTTGAGTATTAAGCTACATGCCAAACTATATAATCCAGGACATTGCAGGGACACACAGGGCCAGAAAAAGTGGCCAACCCCTGTACTGAGGGGTCCTTGATATTCTTTGAACTTGGTTGTTTTCTTGCAGATGTTTCATTATCCAAACTAAGTAACATCATCAGTGCTAGTGTGCAAGAAAGCAACCAAGCTCAGAGAACACCAAGCACCCCTCATTTCAACCTTGAGCTACAAATATTCTCCTTTATTGGAACCGCTGCACTACAAAGAAGTTTTTGGATCCATGAATTTATATGGAATATATAGTACAGGTAGTCCTCGACTTATGTCTACAATTGAGACTAGACTGTCCATTGCTAAACAAGGCGGTTACTAAGTGAGTCATATCCAATTTTACAATCATTTTTGCCATGGTTATTAAACAAATCACTGCAATTGTTAAATGAATCTGGTTTCCCCCATTGGTTGTCAGAAGCTGCCTGGGAAGGTTGCAAAAGGTGATCTCATTACCCCAGGGTGCTGTAAATGTCATAAATATATGCAGGTTGGCAAGCCCCCAAATTTTGATCACATGATTGTGCTGTGATGGTCATAAGTACAAGGAATGATTGTAAGCAGTGCACACACGTTATACAGCCTGCCTTGCCTACCCTACAAGGTTTACCTTTGTAGCTGAAAAAAAAACCCCTTCAGTTTTTAGTGTATCTAAAAGACTAGGATTTTGTTCAAGGTAAGTTAATCCTATTAATGTTACCATGCACTGTGTGGCTTTAAATTACAAGAAGGCATTTTATTAATCTTTTGGGACATTTACCACTGGTTTACCTCTCATTTTAATGAGTGAAAATGTCAGCTTTCTATGTGGAATGAAATTAGCCCAATAAAACAAAACTTGGTTGCTTGTAAAAGATTGAATTATTTTTAAGAAGTTGTCAAACAAGGTAGAAAAATTTATATTTGGAGTTTAATATGGATATTGACTTGAAACAAATTAAAGTTGAAACTTTGTCAGTGAACAGATTACTTTTAATTTACCTTTAAGTTAAACCCAATTTAATAAATAGATCTGATTAAACCTCATACTGTAGATCTACCTTTACCTCTGACCAATACATAATTAATATATATTATTAATAATAATACCTCCAAATCACAAGACATTGGCTTTATTCATACTCTTCCCCTCTGCAGTTTGAATATAAAGTATAAAAGACTAAAAAGAGATTTTCGTAGACATCCCAGCCTTTGAACTACCCCAGGAACTGAAACAGCAAAGTTTCGCTGTCGGGCAAGCTTCCATGGCAGCCACCTTTCTTTCCTCTCACTTCGCCTCTTTTTAACCTCACACCCCACCTTCCGTAAGGGAAGGCAAAAGGCTCGCTCACCCTCTTGTGAAAGATGGCCTCCATATTTATGTGTCTCCCACCGCCACCATCGGCTTCCACACCACATGGTCCAACCCAGCCAATCAAGCCACACTCTGGCTGTGGTGCTCCGGCGCCTCATGGCTCCTCCTAGAGGAGGCAGACAGCACCGGAGGGGACCCCGCTCGCACCGTACCACCAGCGGGGCATTTTCAAAAACAAACGAGGATAGGAAGGGAAACAATAGGAAAAGAACGCAACTCTGGAAAATCCGTCGAAAAAAGGTGCCAGAACTCCGTTCCGGTGTGTTCTTTGACAAAAAAAAGCCCTCATTGTAAGTCACTTTTTTCAGTGTGGTTGTAACTTCGAACAGTCACTAAACAAATGGTTGTTAAGTCAAGGACTCCCTGTAACTGAATTTTTTTAGAACATCCAAAAATATAGGTTTTCATGAAGAATATGAGTATCTGATTGGAAAGATGGGGAGAAAAACAAAAAGAAATAATATTTTCCTACCTTTCCTCTGGGTTGTTTTTAAGATTTACTCTTCTTGGACTGGTTGTTCATACTTTTCTACAGAATATTTGAAATGGGTCAAGTAAATTGAGAGTGTGAGGGAAGCTTTTTTTTACCTAATCCTTCACTCTGATTGAATGTTATCTTCACTGTCTGGCAAGAAGATCCATCTCCTAAGCAAACTCCACACTGATCTTCAGTGGCGTTGGAATTAATTTCATAATCACAGCCAACAGTCTAAAAGAAAAAGAGCCTTTTTCAGAATGTTACCAGCACGTGACAGGATGGATACATGTATTTTTTTTCTTTAAAATATCAATTAATGGTACATATAAATCAAAAATAACTTTAGTCTTAACTTTTCATCCTATTTACACACAGAGGTCATATATGTCCCAAAGGTGCTTTTTCAAAAGGCAACTGAACATTTGAAAAAGCACCTTTGGGACAACCATGTCCTGGATGACTAAGAAGTTTGTGTCAATTACTAGATTATTCAGATGTCAAGTCATTATTTCAAACCAAATAACAGTTATGGGTTGACCTGAAGAGAATGCCTTTTATTCTCAGTAATTACGCATTACCAATATCACAACTTGAATTCATACAAAATAAAGTTATGATTATCTTATAAACTGCCTTCCAGATTTATGTTTCTGTACCTTCCTTAAGAAGTCTGAAACTCTTACTCTGTTTGACAGTCACCATCTAAAATAATGAGTGTATTATTATTAGAACTATTATGGTGGTTTTTCAGTGACAAAAATAGACTGATTCACTCTTTGGGTCATCAGGAAAATTCTCACAGCTAGCATAAAATATTTTGCAACTTTCAGCAGAGGTGGGTAACATTTGATGGTAGGGAGCTTCAAATCAACATTCCAATTATTTGGGGGGGGCATTGAAACCTTATCGAGAGAAATGGGACATCATGAAGTGGAGAAGGCAATTAACAATTCGCTCCACTTTAGGGTTTTCTGCAGCTTATTGGTGCGAAAGAAAACTCCCATCCCCATACTTAAAATCATCTGATCTCCCAAATCTAATTAAATCTACCTCCACTGAACAAGTAATTTCAAACGATTTTGAGAATCAGAATATCAGCTAGAAATCTCTGATTATGTCATCTGGACCAATTCCTATGAAATCTATTTTCCATAATGAATTTCAAAGAAAGTGGAAGAGGATGAAGTGATGACCTACTTAAACAGCTATTGAGACATCTTCTCATCATGATTATGGAGATAATAAGATCAGCCTTATGTGCCACATTATTGTTACTAAATATTTCATGGTCTCAATTCCCAATTCTTTTCAGATTTTTCAATCCTCCTACCAATGATAAATTCATTGCCATAGCAGTAGCTATCTTTGGCACTCTCTAAATTAGTTTCTGAGCTGTCACCATTGGAAACCACAGTATGCATATTAGTCCACTAATTGGGATTAAGGACTGTGATCATATGAAGCACGTTATCTTGCCAATGGCTTTGGTTTCTGATCCTTTCTCCAGCCAAATACAATGTTACAGTCCCACCATTAGAACATTTTATATTCCAATGATCCTCAGCTTTTGCCTGATGCTGTTATCCTGGCCACCCAATCCTATTCTTAGACTGTCTTCCATTTTTGAAGCAGAAATGTGTGAGTTTGGGCAGCTTATCTAGGAAGAGCCAAGAAGCTGAAATGGGCAACTTTCAATCTCCAGAGTTTGCTGAATCTTGAGAGTAAAATTGCCAAACTTCAATGATCTCTCCCTCCCCATGTTGAAATAAAAAAAGACATTGAAATAAAGAAAAGCACCCATACCACCATCACCATCATATTGCCTTATCTCCCACTTCCCAAATAATAACTTGGCCATCAAACATTGTCCACCACAGACATACAAACTGGCACCAGTATATAAAGCTGTAATCTAACTGGCCCATATTTGCAAGTCTGCAAATCTGAAGTCCCATGAAGGTTTCAGAGAAGGAAACATACCCAATACCTTACACATGCCATTAATGCAGACATCTCTGTAGCGGTTTCCTTCAAAACAAGGTGTACCATCAATTACAGCATCTAACATCTTATCCGAAAAATGGTGGTTTGTAGGGCGGCATTGCAGCTCACAGGGACTAACTGGGAGAAATCCCAAATATTAGATCAATAAAGCATATTTTAAAGCCACATTGTAAGGCTCTAATAGTATCATTTTTCATTCAAGACTAAAGATTCAAAGCTGTTTGTAAAAATTAGTATTTCAGTGACTCAGCCAACTAATGTCAGTTGCATCTATGATCCAGTCTTCCTGCAGTTCCTAATATAGGCTCCAAATTGGTATAGAAAAATAGGTGTAATGGTATTGCAGGAGATGACCAGGCTGAGCCCGAAGGAGGAGTCAAACACAAACACATCATCAGTCTGGAGTCCCTTCATGCCCACAAAAGATCTAAGTCCAGCCCATCTTGAATTCCATTGACTCTTATCTATTGCCAATTTGGTTTGGCCATTAGTAGTTCAGATTCTTGTAGAGAACTTCAGCTTGCAATAAACCTTTATATTCATTTGAACTGACTGGATTTCCTGATTTCCCCAACGCTTAACAGGTATGTGGAAAAGACCTTGGGAGATTAGGCAAAGAGACACTGCCAAGGGAACTCTCAGATAAGAGACAACATATCCCTCAGCTAGATAGTGGGTGGGGCAAGAGAGCCAGGTTTTCCTCACGAGGCCAACAATTGGCATGAACCATGCTGGTTCCTAAAACAGCCATACGAGCTGCTGATATTTACAGTACACATATTTGTAAATACCTTCCAAAATTATTTATTCTCAGCTGCGTTTGTGGGCCAAAAACACTATTGGTGGAAAGCCAGACTGAGAATTTTAATTTTTGCAGCTTAAATATCCATATACACTGCTGTTTCTTTTTGTTACTGGACAGGAAGTGTTAATTTCAGCTTGGCCTCAACATTAGCTTTTAGGCATTTATCCACTCCACTACAAGCATGTAATTTTCTTTCATCCTTCATATTCATTAATTTGCCTCTTGCCCACGTTTCTTCTCACTGCCCCCTATGTCAATATTTTTTTTCTTTTTCTCTTTCTTTGAAGTCAGCAACCCAAAAACCCAGGAATGTACAGAGCATCTCCAAATACTGGAATTGCGCTCAGAATTATGTTCCTTTTTCGCAATAAAGGAAAGGAGAGGAGAGATTGCTGGCTTTGCTCAAACTAAGGAGCAGGAGGAACAAAAAATAACCAAAATGGGCAAAGAGGGCATTTTAGCCTTTGGGTCCAAGAATCAGGAGGGCATTTTAGCCTTTGGGTCCAAGAATCCTCCCCAGAAAGGAGTGGATTATTGGCTGGAAGGGGTTCTTCAACATGCTACAGAGTCCAATCCAAACTACAGGTAATCCTCAACGTACAATAGTTTGTTTACTGACTGTTTGACGTTATAATGACACTGAAAAAAAGTGACCATTTTTCACATTTATCACCACTGCAGCATCCCCACAGTCACATGATCAAAATTTGGATGCTTGGCCACTGACTCATATTTATGACGGTTGAAGAGTCCTGGGTTCATGTCATCCCCTCTTGACAAGCAGAGTCAATGGGGAAGCCAGATTCACTTAACAACTATGTGACTGAGTTAACAACTGCAGTGTTTCATTTAAAAACGGTGCCAAAAAAGGTCATAAAATGGGGCACAACTCATTTAAGTGATATAAATTTTGGGATCCATTGAGGTTGTAAATTGTGGACTACCTGTGATAGCAGTATCCTTCTCCTTAAGGAGCATGTCTTAGTGCCAATGTTTTTGGGGTATTTCACAAACTGTGCCTGTATTGACAAGAAAGCATTCATCTAAACAAAATCTAGATTGTTAACCAGATTATTATCCAGATTGCTAGCAGATTATTTTCCCTTCCCTTACCTTTATTATAAACTGGGATCCATTGGTAGAATTCATTTTTGTAGGCAACTGTATCAAACTCGCTGCACTGCATCTGACGGAAATTTGGGGTTGCCTTTTGGCACCCTTTAACATTGCACATATGATAGCGCTTTCTCTCCCCAGTGCAATACTTCCCTCCAAACTGTGGTCTAAAGATGAAGAAGTCACTTTTAAATAAAGAAATCAATCATTATTTTTACATCCTACATTTCCCAAGAGGCAAGTGTACACAGAACCCTTGTCTTCATTCTTTCCTCACAGCATCATTGGGAGATAAATTCAGCAAAGGAATAGGTTGGTAAACATGGATCTCTCTCTCACACTTCTTGCACTAATCTGACATGACCTTGGGCCAGTCACTTTCTCTCGGGCCAGTTCTCCTCACAGGGTTGTTGTTGTGGGGAAAATAGGAGGAGGAAGGTGGATATGATTGCCACCTTGAGTTATTTGTAAAAAATAATGTAAATGGGATACACATGAATAAATAAAATATAATAAAAATTAATGGAATCCAATCACTGTACCACACTGATACTTTCTGAATCAAACTATAGTTTCTTTTCTTCATTTTTCTTCAAGTTTCCAAGAAACTTTTCGGTTTCTGCTTGTTTTTTAGATTTGTATTTCGCCTTTTTTCTAGGCAGTTCCTCTCTACTTTTTTCAACAATATCCTTATAAGGTAGCTTGGGCTGACAGAAAATGGCTGGTTGAAATTCACCCAATTGGATTCCATGGCTGAGGGAATGTACAGTCTTTCAGATCTTATCAAAATTGGCAAACTGTCTTATATCTCTTCACATCAACTGTTCTATTATCTTTAATTAGACCAGTGGTGGCGAACCTATGGCACGGGTGCCAGAGGCGGCACTCGGAGCCCTCTCTGTGGGCACACATGCCGTTGCCCCAGCCTTGCCTCTGCCGCGATCCCCTCCTCACCAGCAGCCTCCTGGAGGAGAGTCACCCCCGAGAATGGCCCATGCGGAGCAGCGTAGCCAAGGACATGGCAGCCAGGCAGCGTAGACAAGACTGCCCTCACGCACCATCGTGCACAGTTGATGCTGCGGGGCGTGGGCAGAGGGCGTGGCTGCCAGGGTGCTGCTGGGTTGCCTGGGCAATCTGCGGCGGGCCCTGGAGGTGGTGAGTGGCCCTGTGGGCAGGCAGGGTGAGGCGAAGCGAGGGCGGGGCAGGGGGTGGATCAGGGCAGGGCCAGTTTTTGGGCACTTGGTCTCTAAAAGGTTCGCCATCACTGAATTAGACAATGAAGGTTTTTCAGAAAAAGGAAGATCTAATCAAGATAGGTGGACCTCTATCTCTTGAATGTTATAGTCTGTCTGTCTGTCTGTCTGTCTGTCTGTCTGTCTGTCTGTCTGTCTGTCTATCTATCTATCTATCTATCTATCTATCTATCTATCTATCTATCTATCTATCTATTTATCTATCATCTATTTATTTTAGTGCCTTTGGGTCTCTCTTAGCTCCTGGCAACTGCTTGGATAAGTCCTTTTGTCATTGCCTTTTCCTAGGGCTGAGGGAGACTGACTGGCCCAGAATTAGCTTAATGCTTATTGCAGGACTAAAACTTGGACTCTTCCAGATCTGGTACCTTTAACCACAATATGGGCTCTTTCCATTCCATTGGGAATAAGATAGAAGCTACATGCCATGATAGATTTGGTCAAAGTCCCAGATGACCAGGCCTCCTATTTCTTCTCCGTCTATATTTCTTCTTTCTCCCTCTTTTTTCCTCCATGCTGAGAAACGATAACTGACTCTTGTTAGATTTCAAAACAGATGACTTGCAAAGGACTAGAGTTACTGTATGAAACCTTGGAAAAGAATCTCTAGAGATCACTCCAAAGACAGGAAACGCCACCCTTCAATGCAGCCATTCTTTAAGTACTCTGGAACCAGACTGTTAGGTTATAAGGAGATTGAAATCTTCAGTGTCTTACTCTGGGTTATTGCAGTGTCTTTCAGCTGCCTGAATGCCAGCTCCACATGTCCGTGTACAGTGTGACCAGGATGACCAGGACCCCCATGCGCCATTAATTGCTTCAGGGCTCTTGCCCACTGTTATGCATTCACCTGAGAGGCACCACTGAATAATAAAGCAGCAAATGCAATGGGTCAGGGGAAAAAATCCAGTTTGGCATGAAAATACACATCTACCATAGCAGCTCTTCGGTAACTGGCATAAGAGAATTCATCTTTCATTGAAAGCCAAGGTTGAGCCCAACTATTTATATGCAACTGAAGACGTGTGAAGAGGTACCTGAATGAGAGGGTAGGTATTTTACTTTGTGCCATGCTGATCCAGAGAAATTGCTGCCTGAGCAGCTGGGAGTTACTAAAGGATTATAGAACCCTTCTTGTGCCTGTTGGTTTCCTCACCATAGCTTATAGCAGATTGGATGATGGGGAGAGACGCACTCCCCTCCCTCAGACTTTTGACAAAGTTAGAGATTTGAAAAGAAAATGGGAGATCCAGTTACAGAGTTTGCATAATCAATTGGATAAAGTATACAGGACATAGCCTTTTGTGGCCAGAAAATTTTGGAGAAGATATATTATTCGACAATTTGTTTAGCTACAATTCACAGTTAGCAGGAACCCTTCCTCCCTCCCTCCCTCCCTCCCTCCCTCCCTTCCTTCCTTCCTTCCTTCCTTCCTTCCTTCTTTCCTTCCTTCCTTCCTTCCGTCTTTCCTTCCGTTTCTTCCAAAATGTCTTCCGAAAAAGTTCAGTCCTGTTCTAAAAGGGTGCTCAAGCCTTCTTACAAGGACTTGCTATATCAGAGTGGTAGTGGTAATTGGTGCCTCAAACCAGTAGAGGTCTTGAAACAGAAAAATCCAGGTTTTTCCTGGCTTGTATATAGACAACTTCAAGAGAGATGGCGAATTGATAAAAAGTTTACTTTTTCTATGGTCGATGGGAATTTTCTGAAGCAAGTTAGGGATGGTACTAAANCCCTGGAGGTGGTGAGTGGCCCTGTGGGCAGGCAGGGTGAGGCGAAGCGAGGGCGGGGCAGGGGGTGGATCAGGGCAGGGCCAGTTTTTGGGCACTTGGTCTCTAAAAGGTTCGCCATCACTGAATTAGACAATGAAGGTTTTTCAGAAAAAGGAAGATCTAATCAAGATAGGTGGACCTCTATCTCTTGAATGTTATATTCTGTCTGTCTGTCTGTCTGTCTGTCTGTCTGTCTGTCTGTCTGTCTATCTGTCTATCTATCTATCTATCTATCTATCTATCTATCTATCTATCATCTATTTATTTTAGTGCCTTTGGGTCTCTCGTAGCTCCTGGCAACTGCTTGGATAAGTCCTTTTGTCATTGCCTTTTCCTAGGGCTGAGGGAGACTGACTGGCCCAGAATTAGCTTAATGCTTATTGCAGGACTAAAACTTGGACTCTTCCAGATCTGGTACCTTTAACCACAATATGGGCTCTTTCCATTCCATTGGGAATAAGATAGAAGCTACATGCCATGATAGATTTGGTCAAAGTCCCAGATGACCAGGCCTCCTATTTCTTCTCCCTCTATATTTCTTCTTTCTCCCTCTTTTTTCCTCCATGCTGAGAAACGATAACTGACTCTTGTTAGATTTCAAAACAGATGACTTGCAAAGGACTAGAGTTACTGTATGAAACCTTGGAAAAGAATCTCTAGAGATCACTCCAAAGACAGGAAATGCCACCCTTCAATGCAGCCATTCTTTAAGTACTCTGGAACCAGACTGTTAGGTTATAAGGAGATTGAAATCTTCAGTGTCTTACTCTGGGTTATTGCAGTGTCTTTCAGCTGCCTGAATGCCAGCTCCACATGTCCGTGTACAGTGTGACCAGGATGACCAGGACCCCCATGCGCCATTAATTGCTTCAGGGCTCTTGCCCACTGTTATGCATTCACCTGAGAGGCACCACTGAATAATAAAGCAGCAAATGCAATGGGTCAGGGGAAAAAATCCAGTTTGGCATGAAAATACACATCTACCATAGCAGCTCTATGGTAACTGGCATAAGAGAATTCATCTTTCATTGAAAGCCATGGTTGAGCCCAACTATTTATATGCAACTGAAGACGTGTGAAGAGGTACCTGAATGAGAGGGTAGGTATTTTACTTTGTGCCATGCTGATCCAGAGAAATTGCTGCCTGAGCAGCTGGGAGTTGCTAAAGGATTATAGAACCCTTCTTGTGCCTGTTGGTTTCCTCACCATAGCTCATAGCAGATTGGATGATGGGGAGGGACGCACTCCCCTCCCTCAGACTTTTGACAAAGTTAGAGATTTGAAAAGAAAATGGGAGATCCAGTTACAGAGTTTGCATAATCAATTGGATAAAGTATACAGGACATAGCTTTTTGTGGCCAGAAAATTTTGGATATATTATTCAACAATTTGTTTAGCTACAATTCAAAGTTAGCAGGAACCCTTCCTTCCTTCCTTCCTTCCTTCCTTCCTTCCTTCCTTCCTTCCTTCCTTCCTTCCTTCCTTCCTTCCTTCCTTCCTTCCTTCCTTCCTTCCTTCCTTCCAAAATGTCTTCTGAAAAAGTTCAGTCCTGTTCTAAAAGGGTGCTCAAGCCTTCTGCAACAGTTAAAAGTTCACATAATTCTATTCTTCAGTGCTAGACTGAACTGGCCTAATTTTAAAAAGAAAATGTTCTCTCAGGCCACCCACCAAACTGCATATATGTACCTTGATCTTTCCTAACCAGCTGTTTTTCAGATGTGTTAGAATTGCAAGTACCCTGGCTGTAGCTGGTTGGAAATTTGAATGTATCTGCAAGACATCTTGGAGAAATGACTTCATTCATTATAAAATGAAGGCATAGCTTAGCATAAAAACAGTTGATTCTACATCAGTTGATTCTGAATAAATCAAAGTTCCCGTGGAAAACCTATTTAATATTTTATGTGAGCAGTCCCATAGACACAAAGTATTAAAATTCATCTGCTCAGGTAAAAAACAAACTTCGATCTTCCAGAGATAGGAGGGAGTCAGTTATTGTAATAAAAGGGTGAACTAGCTGAAAAGGTTAGAAAAGGCAAACAAAAGAACACTCAGTGGGTGGGAGAATGAACCATTTATGTTGCAGAAATACTTCTGTACTTGACATAAATAAATGCCTGGAACTCTTAGAGGCAAGATACTGACACTTTTTCATTGAGCTGTCATTGCTACCAAGACATATTAAAAACACATCTCTGATCTGCAACAGTAAGGAATTTATATTCCTAGAGGGGGATGGAGGATCTGGCATTGATTTGAAGAGAGCAAAAGTCTTGCTTCACCAGTGGAGAAAATGACAGTACTAAGATGAGGATTAAAATTTCAGATTGAACTCACACAGAGACATTGTTGTGAGAAACGTTGAGTGAAAGCAAAGTTTAGATACAGGGGAGAAAAAAATCAAAATGTTGCATAAGAGGCCACAAGGCTTTGGTTTGAATTCTCGCAGCACTAATAAAACCAGACAGGGGCCAAACTACCTTTCACCATTTTTGCCTTCTCCATCTTATTATCACCTTATTCTCTCCACATCTTGTTCCATCTGCTGCAGCATCCAGTTTTGAACGGCAAGAACCCTTCACAAAGCACCACAAGGTCTGGCAAATATTCTGAAAGAACAAGAATTTGAAATGTAATAACAGCACAAATCAATGAACAGTTTATGGAATCCTGAGAGAATGTCAGAGGGCTGAGAAATACATTTTTTGAAAGGACTGGTTTCAAGAAACTGGACCATCCTTTGATAAATGTGTAGACTTTGTAGGAACAAAGAGCAATGAAGCAGTATTGCCCCAAGTGTTTTTCCCTTGTAAGCTGGGGTCAAAAACAAGTGACAATGACAGATGTGATTGTATACTCCAAGTCTTGCCTCTTTGTTACATGCATGCAACATGTGCAATAAGCATTAAAAAGGGGTGGGGCTTTGATTGTGCAATCATAGTCACCATTTTGACATAATAATAATAATAATAATAACAACAACAACAACAACAGCAACAACAATAATAATAATAAAGTTGGAAGGGACCTTGGAGGTCATCGAGTCCAACCCCCTGCTCAGGCAGGAACCCTACACCATTTCAGACAAATGGCTGTCCAGTCTCTTCTTAAAAACTTCCAGTGTTGGAGCATTCACCCCTTCTGGAGGCAGGTTGTTCCACTGGTTAATTGTTCTAACTGTCAGGAAGTTTCTCCTTAGTTCTAGGTTGCTTCTCTCCTTGCTTAGTTTCCACCCGTTGTTTCTTGTCCTGCCTTCAGGCGCCTTGGAGAATAGCTTGACTCCCTCTTCTTAGTGGCAGCCCCTGAGATATTGGAACACTGCTATCATATCCCCCCTCGTCCTTCTCTTTGTTAAACTAGACATACCCAATTCCAGCAACCGTTCCTTATATGTTTTAGCCTCCAGTCCCCTAATCATCTTTGTTGCTCTTCTCTGTACTCTTTCTAGAGTCTCAGCATCTTTTTTACATCGTGGTGACAAAAACTGGATGCAGTATTCCAAGTGTGGCCTCAGCAAGGCATTGTAAAGTGGTATTAATACTTCACGTGATCTTAATTCTATTCCTCTGTTAATGCAGCCCAGCACTGTGTTGGCTTTTTTGGCAGCTGCAGCACACTGCTGGCTCATATTTAAATGATTGTCCACTAGGACTCCGAGATCCCTCTCACAGTTACTACTATTGAGCAAGGTACCCCCTATACTATACCTGTACATTTGGTTTTTCTTTCCTAAATGTAGAACCTTACTTTTTTCACCATTGAATTTCATTTTGTTAGATAGCGCCCAGTGTTCAAGTCTGTCCAGGTCTGTGCTTCTCAATTCATTCAGGAGTCGCACCAAATACAATTATTTCTTAAACTTAGTTGTTTGGCAGATTTATTAAATGAATAACAGAATAAACTCCCAGGAGAGAAAACATTGCATTTTGTTCCAAATACCATACTCATTTCCTGTTGAGCAGCAAATGTAGTCCATTGAACCCTGGGGATCTAGAATGGTCCATGAAGGTATTTACATATCATTAACTGATGGGGGGGGAAGCAAATATTTCTCATCCCATTAAATCACTGAATCTAGGATAAGCAGAATGGAAAATAGGGGGCATTTCTGCCTGAAGATTTTATACCAGTTTGAAAGGAATCTGGAATGATCTGTTCTAACAATAACAACAAGTTGGGAAGCTGTGTCAGTTTATTTCTGGCTCAGCAGTATTGAAACTGAAATAAATTTAAGCTGGAATTTTGTTTTCTTGTTTTGTTTCCCTTCCTTAGCTAACAGAATCCTTGTCTTGCCTACACCCTCAGCTCCTAATTCCAGGCCCTGACCTGTAAGACAAATTTGAAGGTTTTGTCCTCTCTAAGAGTAGGCAAGTCAGAAACAGCAGGCATGAAACTTTCAACTTTTCTTCACCATAGTCATCAAGACACTAGATTCCTCCTTTCTACTGGTCCTTTTTTGGTAGATGGTGGCCAGAAAGAAGTGCTCCCAACTCTGGATCACAAAAATCTGGGCAAACCATAGATGGCATCAAAAGAGACAGGCAGTCCTCCAGAAAATGAAAAAATTTGTATTGCTGCCAAACCTATAATAGGTCAGGTCAAGATGGTGATAGCATTTTAAGAAACCAGAAGTGAAGGCCATTACAATATGGCTTGCCTTAAGGCTGTTCCCAAGGATTTGGTGAGGGAAAGAGATAGCAGTGTGTGATCTAGCTGCCTAGTAATTGGGGGAGAAATTAATAAATAGTTATTTTTATGAAAGGTAAAAAATGGTAAACTGTTAAATGTCCAGTTCTTATGAGCTGACATAGGTCTCAGCTAACTGTGGTATAATAAACCAGTATGTATAGACCTCATCTCTACTGAAATAAGATAAAATAGCAAAGAATTGATACTATCCTATTTCAATTGGTATCAATTGCTTTTCTAATATCTGTTATATGTATATTATATACATATAAACAAAAGATTTTGATAATAAAAATTGCCGATCATATGTCAGCAATTTCTATTATCAAAATGTTTTGTTTTCCATTGTACACACAAATATTAAGAATTCTTTGTTCATTGCACAGTTGTCATTTTGTTGTTTATTTTGTTCTAATACTTTGCCAAGTCCTTGAGGGAATGGCTTTCTACCTTCACTAATCTGCTACACTGATTTATCAAGCATCTCTCAGAAAAAAAACTATTCCCTGTATATTCTAAAGTAGTCTCAGATTTTGGAATTGTGTGAATAAATCACACATAATAATAGCATTAATAAATATTTCTTCCACTGGGTTTTAAGATTGTGTCTAATGCTTTTCCACTGTTGCAGAACAGCACAGAAAAGCTCTTGTAGGAAGCAGATGATCATGAATGGCAAATGAGTTTTCCTAAGTGAATCACCCTTGTCATTTCCCAGTTAGGCCACTACAACATTCCCCAGTGAATTCTGGCAGTTGAAGTCTTCACATTTTAATGTTGCTGAGGCTGAGAAACTTCAAGTTATTGTAACTAACTTCAAATAGAGCTGCTCTTGAAGACTAGCCAGAAACTTCAGTGACCCCCTCCCAGTTACCTGCAGTCTTGGTTCTACTGTACATCACTGCTGTTTGCTGTTGGAAATGCCCTGGAGACTAGTGTGTTTACAATTCAAGTTTGTTGTAGGCTGGTTCTAACTCCAAAGCCCTATATGGCTCAAGACCTGGATATCTAAGAGACCATCTTTTCCAGATGGCCAGATGGCACTTACTAATGGCCCCCAGCACCAGGAAGTGTGGTGGGAGAGAGCCCAAACACTGGGAATTCTTGGAGGTAGATCTACTTCTAAGATAAGAATGGCTACCATTCTCCTCCCCTTGGTTCTTATGGAAGGCCTTTGGGGACCAACTCAAGAGCCACACACATCCCTTTGTGTGAAGATATGCATGTGGGCATGTGTTTACAGTTGTAAAGGACATTAGGAATAACTTTATGGAACCAGAGAAAGAGCTGCAACCAAGACAACGGTTAGATAAAAGAAATCTAATCTGGGACAAAAATTACATTTGAATAAGTGTCTCAGATATGATCATCTCTGGTTCTCATAAAGATAAAGATAAAGATAAAGATAAGATAAAGATAAAGATAAAGATAAAGAAAGGGAGGGAGGAATTCGGTTTTATAGGGGGGGATTGTATATATGCTTTGGTTTTAAATATGTTGTGCGCCGCCCTGAGTCCCGCAGGGAGAAGGGCGGCATATAAATTAAATTAAATAAATAAATAAATAAGAACGTTCAGACTTGGAAGATTGTGTTACAATAACCTTTTGATAAAGCAATATTAACATTTATAACTATCATTTATAAATCTGGTCTTCCTTGACATTGGTACGTAATGCTTCTATATTTTTCTTATTATTTAACAGTAGGATTTTAGAATGTCATAACATTTAATGAAAGCTGTATATAAGGCTTGCATATATTTCTTATTATTTAATAGTAGGGTTTTGGAATGTCATAACGTTTAATGGAAGCTTTAAAATGTAATTTTATTTTATTGCTATTTTATTACCTGCAGAGCTATTTCGTACAGCTGAAGTTTGTGAGCAAATGAGGCAATAGCTAAAAGGCACAAAGAAATGGAATTGTCACAACCAATTGTATACTGCAGTCTGTGACATCAAGGGAATGCGCTCTATGACTTTAGGCTACCAGTTCAAGTCAGGGTTCATGGCCATCAACTCAAGGCTTAGTATCACATTTGGAGCTGAGTGCACAGAAAAATCTTAGGCAGAAAACAAATGTACTCTTTTTCATTTTTTCCCATATGACTTTTCCCAGTTTTTTTTAATTATCTTAAAATATTGGCGGGGAAGGATTTTGAAATATTTTCCAAAATTATCATTTGACATGATGGTTAAATAAATAAATTTGAAATAAATCAAATTGTATCTGGAGATATATAATCTAACATGTGAAAAGGTAGAGATACAAGCAGTCCTTGACTTATAACACTTCATTTACTGACCATTGAAAGTTATTGGAAAAAGTGACTTATGACTGTTTTTTACACTTAGGGCCAAGTGTGAATACCCAAGGTCACGTGATCAAAATTCAGATGCTCAGCAACTGGTTCAGATTTATGACAGTTGCAGTGTCCTTTTGCAACATTTTGATAAGCAAAGTGAATGGGAAAGCCAGATTCATAACCATGTTATGAATTAATAACATGTTAATTAATATTTAATATTAATAACCATGTTACTAATTTAACAGCTGCAGTGATTCACTTAACAAATGTGGCAAGAAAGGTCGTAAAGTGGGGCAAAATTCACTTAACAGATAGATAGCTACAGAAATTTTGGGTTCAGTTGTGGTTGTAAGTTGAGAACTACCTGTGTTACTGTATTTTAAACTAATATATAATTAAAAGGAATAAAAAACAGTTAAACTGAATATTTACCATATATTTTATTGTTTCTACCTTCTTTTAAAATACCTTTGGAAGGCCAGCTGCAACCCTGAGGCCTCCGGATATTCATCCCCTTTAGGTCACATGTCTCCCATGGCAGATATGTAGGCATATCTCACTCAAAACATTGGCTTCCTCTAAATTGGCATTTGTATTGGCTATATAATTGCCACAGTTCACAAGTAATGGGAAATTTCTGCTTCAGAGTTTGGAATCCACTGTTTTGAAGCAACATTTCTATGAAGTTTGGTGTTCAAGGCAGAATAACAGAATAGCAGAGTTGGAAGGGACTTTGGAGGTCTTCTAGTCCAACTCCCTGTGTAGGCAGGAAACCCTAACCATTTCAGACAAATAGTTGTCCAATCTCTTCTTAAAAGCCTCCAGTGTTGGAGCATTCACAACTTCTGGAGGCAAATTGTTCCACCAATTAATGGTTCTATCAGAAAATTTCTCCTTACTTCTAGGTTGCTTCTCTTCTTGATTAGTTTCCATCCATTGTTTTTTGTCCTGCCCTCAGGTGCTTTGGAGAATAGTTTGACTCCTCTTCTTTGTGGCAACCCCTGAGATATTGGAACACTGCTATCATGTCACTCCCTAGGCCTTCTTTTCATTAAACTATTAAACATACCCAATTGCTGCAATCATTCTTTGTATGTTTTAGCCTCCAGTCCCCTAATCATCTTTATTGCTCTTCTCTGTACTCTTTCTAGAGACTCAACATCTTTTTTACATTGTGGTGACCAGAACTGGATGCAGTATTCCAAGCGTGGCCTTACCAAGGCATTGTAAAGTGGTATTAATACTTCACCTGATCTTGATTCTATCCCTCTGTTAATGCAGCCTAGGACTGTGTTGGCTTTTTTGGCAGCTGCAGCACATTGCCGGCTCATATTTAAGCGATTGTCCAGTATAAAGGCAAATAAAGGAGCTTTAGGATACTGTGAACCAGGGCTTTTTTTCTCATAGAACGCCCAGAACGGAGTTCCGGCACCTTTTTTGGATGGAACCTTGTAGGGTAGGCAAGGCATGTGTGAGTTTCGGCACCTTTTTTTTTTTTTTTTAGAAAAAAAGCACTGCTGTGAACCATATTGTTTACCACTAAGCATGGTTGGGGTGGTTGCTTTGAAAGCACTCCCTCTGCCTTTTTAACTTTTCAATTGCTCCACTTGTAATTTTGTTTTGATTCTGTATTTAACTTTGGTTTTAACTACACTTTTTAATATGATTGTTTGGCTTTATTTGTAAACCAGAGTCATGCAGGTGAGAGGTGGTATAGAGTTTTGATAAATAAATAAGACTAAAATATGATAATTCCTGTTGTGTTTTAAATGACACCCCCCCATCAATATTGGATACAGGAACTTACATCCACTTGATCGCAGAATGTTGCATTGGGTCCATATTGTAACTGACACTGGTGATGAACATCATAAATGACTCCAGGTGCAATGAATGGTGGCTTGAGATCTTTCTTCTTGGGAACATCATCCAGGCAAAAACCCCATCCGTGGCTGCAATGGACATCTGGGATTAATTCTTTACAAATTATGAGAGGCAATGGAAATATTATTGTGGGGCAACTGTAGTGAAACATTTCATCTTTCAAGGAAGGACAGAAATAACAACCCCTCCTTATCTTCTATGTCAATCACTAATTTGGCTCCTTCTAAATGTGTTGCATTACTAGTCCCTCACCTACCAGACTAGAAGTGGGGAACTACGGCCTTGTTATGACTTGCAGATTTCAATTCCCAGAATTAATGTCCACAAGACCACAAGTCATAAAAGGACCATAGTTCCCCATCCCTGCACTCAGCAGTGGAGACTGAAGAAGTAGTTGATTGAGTAATTAATCTAGTGGCATCAGCAAGGAAAAGAGGGCTCTGTACTTACAATAAAAATAATAAAATGGAGAAATCGATGATGGAGAAATCCTTACAAGCCAGAATGTCCACGATGGCTCTTGTTAGCCCTTACTGCAAAAAATATTTATACGTAACTATGTGTAGGAAGTGAAGCTACAGTGCTGGTTAGGCAACAGCTTCATCAGAGCATCCTGTTTTGATCAGTTCATTTTCTAAAAAGCTAATGAGATGACTCAGATTATGATGATGGTGGTTTAAGAGGCAAGGCATACGAAGAAATGTTGATCTGGGAATATTTTGCTTAAAGCAGTAGATGAAAACTCTAAACCCATAAAAGACTCCAACCCCTCTTTATGGCCTCCCTATTGCCCCAGGTTCACATCAGCAAAATGCAATGCCAATTAAAAACAGACTGTAAGGAATCAAGTTTGACTCATGGTGACCTATGGACATATCCACATGTTTTCCTGGTAACAGGATGGAAATATTTTGCCTTTGCTTTTTTCTAGGATGTTTTTTAAATTACCCAGCCTAGCCTATAGCCCTCAGATTTCCCAGTAACCTCCTATCCATATATGAAGACTGTTTAACCCTGCTTAGCTTTTTTGAGTTTAACCATGATTGGCCAACTGCTACCCTTGCCGTATAAGCAGTCAAGTAACAATAGCACAAATGTCCACTTATTTGGGGTGGAAAACTAAGTAAAATATTAAATTTAAATAAAACTTCAACAAGCTAAATACATTTAGAGAGCGGGAAAAAATCATCTAAATAGGGTGGGGGGGGGGGAAATCCTGAAAATTGTGGTGTTATATCACTGCCTGCCATCTGAAGTCCTTGATAACTGCAAGAGGAGGAGGAGGAGGACAAGAAAAAAGGAGATGACACGATATCAATGAAATAAGATTTATGGTTCATTACTATCTACTTATTCCTGGTTTAGAAAGAAGTCAATCAGCAAGACAGACAGAGCTTCATTGTTACAGGATCTAATCCAACAGAGTTAAACTGTCTTAACTGTTTAGTTAAACTGTTTGTATCAATGAAGTTGCAGTGATGTGTTATCCTAGTCCTGCTGCAACCCTAGAAGAATTCTCAGAATGTCTTCTAGTGCACCATCCAACAATCTGGAAGGCATTTGACAGATAATTTGAGAACTACATTGGAAAGATAGGAGAATTTATACAGTTAGAAGTGCACAAATGCGATCTTGGATTTCATACAGCTAAGAAAAGCAAGAATGGCCTTTATAGTTTAGGTGGCTTCACCTAATGAGACTATTTTGAAATTAAAATGGGATATTGCAGGGGAAATTAATTTAACACATGAAATACCCTATAATGAAATGGCCTATTCTATAGCACAGTGTACAGCTGGCTTAGTTTTTACCCAAAATATGACAGGTAGGATTAATCAACAAAGGTAGCATCCCAATTACAATTCGTTCTCTATTACCAACTGATTGCCTAGTTTAGTGATTATTCATATTTACAATAGTGATGAAGAAGTGATGTGATCAATTCTCACATTTACAACCTTCATAGGTCTATAAAACAAAGGAAAGCTGAAGTAAGATCATAAGCACAGTCACTGTTTCATTTAGCAACTTCTTTGGTTAATAACAGAATTGCTCGTTTCAATTATGGTTCCTAAACCAGGATTACCTGTAGTGACTTACAGTATATTCAAGATAATACAGTATATTATCCAACCATCACTGAGACAATATAAACCCTTATTTCAGTACTGTTATTTCAGCACAAGATTTACGGTATAACTCTAGAAAAATCTCTACTGGCTCCTAAAGTTATACTCGTGGATCCATCTTCATTCATCTGCAAGCCTACAGCCCAATATATGAGTAGCAAGACAACTGAAAGATGCTTAGAGCAATCTTGTTCCATTTTTCAGATTGTCACCTTGACTCACTCTAAGAAACGGGTGATGTATTCCTTGCTGCATCGTGACCAGGTGAGTGGTGTAGGATCATACTGTAGCTGCCGAGACATAATGTATGGCCGTCTTCCCACTGATTCGCAATCATTTTCTTTTCCATCATGCTGGATGCCAAAACTGAAGGGAAAGAAACCCAAGGAATAAATCTCAAAACAAAGTTCTGCCACAAAAGCTTATGAGGATAGGGCAGCTTATTTGTTTATTTATTTAATTTGCTGCCCATCTCGCCACAGGCAACTCTCTGAGTTGATTTTAAATAATCTAAAGAAGGAATAACCTGTTGCAGGTCATTGGGTGTTGCGATTCATTTGGGTATCCTCTTTAGCATCCTGTTTGCATTTTTAAAAAAAATAATACTTGAATTTCAGAGAACGGATGAAGATAATTATGTAAACAGTAAAGGTTGGTTTTAATACATTTTGGCTAGCATTAACAGATTAAAGGCAATTCACAATGGCAAACAGTTTCTAAATTAAAAAATAGAATGTGCAAATATTAGAATGATTCAAAGAACCTCCTAAGATCCTTTAGGTTATGATACAGCTCCTTTATTTATAAGGATACGAAGGGAACATATACAGTCAGCATAATCCTGGTGGTCCTGTATGAAATAAAAGCTGCAATTCCTACACTTTAATTGTCAATAATACTAAATGATGCTATTAATGGTAAGTTTACTTCATAGAGAATCATAGGGCTGGAAGGGACCTTCTAGTTCAACTGCCTGCCCAAGGCAGGAGTTATGCTACCCCAGGCAAATGGCTGTCCAATCTTTCTTGAAAATCTCCAGCAATGAAACAACCACAACTCTGGAGACAAGCTGTTCAACCAATTAATCATCTTACTGTCAGGAAATTCCTCCTTATTTCCAGGTTGAATCTCCTCTGACAAGCTTCCACCCACTGCTTCTTGTTCTGCCCTCAGGAGCTATGGAGAATAAATTGACACCTTCTTTCCTGTGACAACCCTTCAAGTATTAGAAGACTGGTGTCATGTCTCTCCTGAGCCTTCTCTTCATTAGGCTAAACATACTGTACCCAGTTCCCTTAGCTGTTCATCATATGATTTAGCCTCTAGTTAAGTTTTGCTCATTTGCACATTCTTAACTCTCTTTCCCAAGTATACACTGTGACCAAATGGAACTGTTTCCTTCCAGAGAACATTTCCGTGTGCTTCAGCCAGATGCAGCTAATCAAGAGATGAACCATTAAGATCACTCTCACCCACATTGACAGGGCAAGCCACTTATATATAAACAGAGAGCAAACTCTACTCCCTTTCTAGCTGATGTTTCTCTAGTTTGGTAATGAAACATCTGCAAGAAAACAACCACACAAGGAGAGCAGCAAGAATCCCCCTAACACCGCTGTTTATCAAGACTTCCAATATGGTTAAAGTTCAAAGGGGAAATATATAGGTAGTGGGTTAGCGATTGGAGAAATGGAAGAGAAGTGGAGAATGCATAACATTATTTTTTTTACTAATTATCTTTTCCTTTGCTTTTTCTATCTTTAGTCTTATGCAATTTCTGCCTGAACAATCTAAAAAAAAATCTAAGTGAGCCCCACCTCCATAAGACTTCCAACTTATTCATACCTGTGTCCAAGTTCATGGGCAATTGTGAAGGCCAAAGGTAGGCCAGAGTCTTCATTGATGTTGCAGCTTCGATGTGGTTGGCACATGCCCGAGAGATGGGACAAGCCTAAGGTTTCACAGGGTTGATTCATAGCAGCACAGATGTCTTTTCTATGACCATAGCAAAAAAGCTTGATATTAAAAAAAACAAAACAAAACCCTATGTATTCAAGGTAATCCCACATTCAGAACAAAGGGCCACTGTTTTTAATTGCTCTTAATTCTAGGAAAGTATACATAATGCGGTTGATGCAAACATCTCTTTTGGGGATCTGCCAAGATTCATATTTCAGCAGAGATCTAGAGGTTCAACCTCCAGAGTTCCTGGCTTTGCATTTCTTCCCTTTTGTATCCACAATCTTTTTATCTGTCCCCGAAATAATAGAAACAAGGAGAGGGAGCTATGAAATCAAAAATTTGTTAATAATAACCTCATAGATGTGCTTGTTTGTTTAATATGAATAACAGAATAACAGAGTTGGAAGGGACCTTGGAGGTCTTCTAGTCCAACCCCTGCTCAAGCAGGAAACTTTATACCATTTCAGACAAATCATTGTCCAATCTCTTCCTAAAAACTTCCAGTGTTGGAACACCCACAACTTCTGGAGGCAAGTCGTTCCACTGATTAATTGTTCTAATTGTCAGGAAATTTCTCCTTAGTTCTAGGTTGGTTTTCTCCTTGACTAGTTGCCCTAAATGACCTTTTTAACAAATGTCCTTCTGCATCTGTTACAGCTTTTTTCCCTCCCGTCAGTATTTTCCATGGTCTAATAATATTTTTATTCTCATTCTATGTACTCCTTACCATAAGCTGTGTTCAGAAGCTGAATTATAATTTCCCAAATTAGAAATGAGGCATTATAGCATATGGAAAATGCAGTTTACAAAATGCAAAGTGAGTCACAGATTTCAGGTCATTACAGCAGTATTCAAAAGTGTGCAATTATTGTTAACAAGCACTCTGTTGTGAGAAAAGTCACAAGCAAGACAGCCCAGCGATTACTGTAGCCAAACAACACTGATAATTAAGAACCAAAAATATTTGCTTCTGCATTTATCTATCTGGGAAAAAGTTTTGGAGGACGGGAGTTGTTTTCCAAAAACATTTCCCCTTCATTTTATTTCCTGTAGTAGATTAGGCTCTGATTTGTTAAAATATTTGAATATAAATTGATGCAAAGTTAGGCAATATGATCCAGAAATTTTGGATAACAATCCCCATAAATCCCATCTAGCATGGTTAATAGTTATGGATAATTGGGGTTGGCTAAAGCATTGTCAGGCTTTACCAGAGACATGAGTGTAAATCTTCACCACAAATCCTGCATAATCTCTTACCTAGGAACTGGTTTAGTCTGAAGTGATTTTATAGCCCTGACCATTGTAGATTAGTTTCTTTATTGTTGATCAGGTCAGACAATAAATCTGTCAGCAGCAATACAAAACGTCAAATTTGCAGACGACACCAAGCTGGCAGGAATAGCCAACACTCCAGAAGACAGGCTTAAGATACAGAAGGATCTGGACAGACTTGAACACTGGGCGCTATCTAACAAAATGAAATTCGATGATGAAAAAAGCAAGGTTCTACATTTAGGCAAGAAAAACCAAATGCACAGGTATAGTATGGGGGGTACCTTCCTCAATAGTAGTAACTGTGAGAGGGATCTCGGAGTCCTAGTGGACAATCACCTAAATATGAGCCAGCAGTGTGCTGCAGCTGCCAAAAAGGCCAACACAGTGCTAGGCTGCATTAACAGAGGGATAGAATCAACATCACGTGAAGTGTTAATACCACTTTACAATGCCTTGGTAAGGCCACACTTGGAATACTGCATCCAGTTTTGGTCACCGCGATGTAAAAAAGGTGTTGAGACTCTAGAGTACAGAGAAGAGCAACAAAGATGATTAGAGGACTGGAGGCTAAAGCATATAAGGAACGGTTGCTGGAATTGGGTATGTCTAGTTTAACGAAGAGAAGGACGAGGGGGAAAATGATAGCAGTATTCCAATATCTCAGGGGTTGCCACAAAGAAGAGGGAGTCAAGCTATTTTCCAAGGCGCCTCAAGGCAGGACAAGAAGCAACGGGTGGAAACTAATCAAGGAGAGAAGCAACCTAGAACTAAGGAGAAACTTCCTGACAGTTAGAACAATTAACCAGTGGAACAACCTGCCTCCAGAAGCGGTGAATGGTCCAACACTGGAGGCTTTTAAGAAGAGACTGGACAGCCATTTGTCCGAAATGGTATAGGGTTTCCTGCCTGAGCAGGGGGTTGGACTAGATGACCTCCAAGGTCCCTTCCAACTTTACTATTATTATTATTATTATTATTATTATTATTATTATTATTATTATTATTATTATTATTATTATTATTATTATTATTATTATTATTATTATTAATCCAAGTTTATACTGTGTTCCCCTGAAAATAAGACCTGGTCTTATTTTTTTATTTTGTCTTCAAAAGAGGCACCAGATCTTATTTGGGGGGGGAGTGTCTTTTCCACTCACCCCCAGCACCAACAGCCCCATCCAGCCGGCCCACATCTTCTGGGACCAAAGGAGTAGCTTCATTCTGCAGCTGAGAATGAAGCTCAGCCTTCATTTCACCGTCAAAGGCCTTTCCGGAAGGCCACTACAGCCGAGTACTGAGCTATGGATTGAAACCATAGCTTGGTTCTCAGCTGCAGTGGCCTTCTGGAAAGCCTCTGACTGCGAAATGCAGGCCTGAGGATGCCGCAGAAGAAGTGGGCCAGCAAGGAGAGGCCTGGTTGCCAGATAAGTGGGTGCACGGCTCAGGGGCAGCTCCACCCCTCACCCCCACCCTAGCTTGATTTTTAGGTGTGTGCCTCACCCCAAAACTAGGGCTTATTTTTGGGGTAGGGCTTATATTAGACCCACCCCCCAAAATCAAGCTAGGGCTTATTTTCGGGATAGGTCTTACTTTCAGGGAAACACGGGTATACAGATCTATGCATGGGGATTGAGAACTTGGTGTTTCCTCCCCCCCTTTCTAGGTGAATGGATGTATGGGGAACTGCCAAAGAGATGGAGGGATGGGTAGGTGGGTTGGGTGGATGGATTACATTTGCACAGCCCCTCCCGCATCTTAAACCAACCTCTGTGTGGCTTACAACCAAAAATAAAGTGACACATATGTAATAAAAACAAAAAAAATGAAACCTATATACTCAAAAATAGAAAAACCACAGCCACGTTTCCCCTCACACAAACCCCACATTCTCTTCCATTCTAACCTCACCCAACCCAAAGCTTGGAGGGGAAACTTGTCATCCAAATGGGCTGATAAGCAGTCATCACCACCACCCAATCCAGAAGAGATTAAAGACAAGCAGGTATAACAGGGATTGTCCTCTACATGCTGGTGATGATGTGACAGTGTGGCAGATAGCATTTTGGTACGTTAGCGCTTAGCAGAGTAATGACAGTTAGAGAATAATGGATTCAAATAAGCAAATACTGAGAGAAAGGGGGAAAAAACTTAAAGGTAAGAATTGCTTGACAGTGAACTAATGAGCTGGAGAGATGATGAGTTCTCAGTTACTGAATGGATTCAAGCAGAAGCTGTTGGAGATGGTTTAATTTAGATTCCTGAATTGAGCTGAAGGTGGGATTGAGTAGCCTAAATATCCCCTTCCTACTCTTTGATTTAAGAGAGGATAAGAGTGAATGATACTGGAAAGTTATGGGAAGGAGGATCAAGACAGAATTAGAAGAAAAGAACCATGAAAAAAAAAGCCACATAGGTTCTGGGTATGGTATATCAATAGTGTTGTGTTTTCGGTTCGTTAGCAATTGATGAAGACACATGGTGAAAACAACAAGCTCTTTATTACACTCTCCTACAACCAAGCAAACAGCAAAAGGCACGCAGGCCTTTTATAGGGCCTTGGACCCAGACAGTGTTAACCAATAGGAGCGGACCATTTTCGCGCCTTGCGCATGCGCACAAGGCTGGCGCCACTCTGTCTGGTCCCGGGCAGCTTTTGGATTGCCCGGGACCATTTGCAACATTTCTGAACCTGCTTTCAGCTCTTGCAGGCTCAGGACACAACAAATAGCAGGCACTGTTTCTTTCTCACCGATATAGTATAACACATGAGACATGTACAGTATCGTATTGCAATCTTTCTAATTACCGTAAAAGAGAACAGTGTGCTTTAGTCCCTCTGCTGCAAATGTATGCATAAAGAGGGAGAATCTCAAGAGAACGGCACAGCAAAGAGTGCCTCATAAGTTTTAAAAAAGAGATGACATTCAAAGACACAACTTTTTGATGTACAGATCTTTGTAATTAAGCCATACTCACTCATAATTAAAAGTAGGAAGGGAATAAGGATATACCCCTCCAGATGTTATAGAACTACAATAGTTCCAGCCACAATAGTCATACTGAAGGATACTACGGGCTGTAATTCTGATGATCAAATGAAGCTTAACAGAAAAAGCAGGCTGTCTGCTTCCGATAAACTTCATTTGATTATTTGTTTATTTGGAAGCAAAGGAATTGGGAAATTTCTCCTCTGATATGTGGAACTCAACTATCCAATTTTGCATAGTTCTTGACTCAAATAAGGTACAAATGTATTTCTAAAATACATGAAAGTATATGAGGCAAAAAGTTAGATAATCCATAAAGCTGTTTTCAACTAATCCTACTGAGAAATCCAGCCTTTTCTATTTCTGTTTCTTCTCAAAAATTAAAAGGAACCAGTTTCCCCAAACTCTAATAAAGTATAACTCATCTTACAACCATTGTTTAGCAAGTTACAATGGCACTGGAAAAAGTGACTTATAACTAGTCCTCACACTTTGACTCTTGCAGCATCCCCACAGACATGATAAAAATCCAGATGCTTGACAACTGCCATGTATTTAAGAAGATTGCAGCATCCCAGGATCATATGATTGCCATTTGTGACCTTCGCAACTGGCTTCTGACAAAGTCCATGTGGAAGCAGGATTCACTTAATGACTGTGTGATTCACTTAGCAACTGCAGTGATTTGCTTAATAATTGTGGCAAATAGGTTGTAAAATTGGGCGTGGCTTATTTAACAACTGATTTGATGGCCAAATATAAGCCACGCCCAATTAAAGGGACACCTATGGGATCACGACTTTCAGAACTTATAGCGGAAGTTGTCATGCAACATCTAGAAGCCATAGCACTTCCACAAATACAACCGAAAACATGGATCAAATATGTAGATGACACCTTCACCATAATAAAGAAGGACCAATTAGAGAACACCCACAGAACCATCAACAACATTTTTAAAGGTATCCAGTTTACTAGAGAAGAAGAAAACAACTCACTATCCTTCCTGGACATCCTGATCAACAGAGACCACAATGGCAAACTAGGAACGCAAGTCTACAGAAAAACCACCCATACTAACCAGGTGCTCCACTACCAAAGCAATAACCCCACCTCCCACAAGAGAAGCTATGTAAGGACTTTATTTAAATGATCCCAAACACACTGCAGCAACCTGGAATTAAGGAGAAACTTCCAGACAGTGAGGACAATCAACCAGTGGAACAGCTTACTCTCAGAAATTGTGGGTGCTTCATCACTGGAGATTTTTAAGAAGAGACTAGACATTCACCTGTCTGAGACGGTATAGGTTCTCCTGCTTGAGCAGGGGGCTGGACTAGAAGACCTCCAAAGTGCCTTCCAGCTCTATTCTATTCTAACCCAGAACAGCAGAAAAAGGAAATGGAGCATCTACACAACACATTCCAACAAAATGGATACCCACACAACTTCATCAAAAAGTCCTTGACCACTCAACCGAATACAACCCAACACAAACCCTAAAAAAAATTACACTGACATACATCAAGAATATCTCAGAAACCGTAAATAAACTGCTACAACCACATGGAATCAGCATACCACACAAGCCAACAAAAGCCCTTCAGAACATCCTAAGCCAGTGGTTCTCAACCTGTGGGTCGGGACCCCATTTGGGGTCGATCGACCATTTCACGGGGGTCGCCAAGCAAGGCTGTCCGCCATTTTTTTTGTCCGCCATTTTTTTGTCCGCCATTTTTTCCCCTTTTCTGGTGGGTGCCTTACCTCCCTTGGGCTGGGCCAGCTGGTGGTCAGCCTGCTCTGTCTCTGCCGCTTGCCAGCTACGCCTCGGCCGGCGCAGGGGGCGGAACCACGCATGTGCGGCACTCCCAGGCAGGGAAAGTCCTCGATTTACGACTGGTTGGGTAGTCATCGACTTACGACCAGTTTAGTCCTCGACTTACGACTGGTTTAGTCCTCGACTTACGACCGGTTGGGGTCGCGGCATTAAAAAGGTTGAGAACCACTGTCCTAAGCAAACTGAAAGACCTAGCAACCCCAGAAGAAAAAACAGGAGCCATCTACAACATACAATGTAAGAACTGCAACAATCACTATGTAGGACAAACAGGCAGAACACCAGCAGAATGCATCCATGAACACCAACTGGCAGTCAAAAGGCATGACAAAAATTCTTTAATTTCACAACATATAGACAGATTTAACCATAGTTTTCATTGGGAAAATGTGACAATCCTAGACAAGGCCAAATCCCAAAATGCCAGGGAATTTCTAGAAGCTTGGCACTCTAACAAATCAGCCATCAATAGACACATAGACATTAACAACATCTATAGAATATGCAAAAGAGACAATCAACCAGCTCAAAATATAAAAAGACTCCAGCATCTCCCCACCAGTAATCAGCACTCAGATCAGCATAGATTAACTCCAAGGTCAACTTCAGACCAACAATCAAGTAAACAATACTCCAATGAAGAAACTGCCGAAGAGCCATTAGTAAACAGCCTAACCAAAGAATCCCTAAGACCGCTCCCACCCACACAGACAGGCAAGACACCAGAATATAAACCGACAGCAAACAGCACTGATGATGTTACCTAGTCAGGGTAATGAAACCTTTGCAAGAAAACAAGGAAGCTCAGAGAGCACCAAGGACCCCTTATTTAACAACTGCCTGGCTTAGCAACAGAAATTCTAGTTCAGACTTGCAATTCTGGTGGTTGTAAGTCAAGGACTACCCGTATCTCATTCAGAAATAGAACAAGAACCCAATAGATAAGGAGAATATCTGTGATGTCTCCCTTGGATGACTCCCCAGATTCCTCCTCAGATGTCAACTCAGGGGAGCCTATTCCTGGCATGTCAGGAACTGGTTGATTGATGGCTCTGAATGGCTGTCCAGAAGAGATTTGGAGGAGGCTTCCACTGAGAAAAGTTTGCAGTGGCAGACAGCCAGTGAAGAGGAGGAACAACTGCCTTCTGCACCTGATCCGAGAACACGAAGGGCAGAGAAAAGGCAGGAGCAGCAGAAGTCAGCCAGACTACTCAAGAGGAGAAGATCCCGCCCGCCTTGATGGGCTGCACTGGAAAGCTGGCTATTTATCACAGCAAGCAGATGGAGGCATTGCTAGGAACATGTTGGTTTTCTAGCTGTTTGTTTGATTGTCATGATTACTGCTTCACTCTGGATGGACACCATGTTTGGAATTGTGCCTTGGAGATTCTGAACTTTCCTTGCCACATGAGCTGCCTTGTGTGTGAATTTAAATTTTGCCTGGTGGAGTTTATTTTGTTTAAGCAACTTTCAATTGCTTTGTGGAGTAGTAGGCCATTGCTCTGTCGACTAATCTTGGCCTGCTCATGGCTGGACTTAATTGGCACAATTTCTGAGTTTTTGTGAAGGGAATTGCTGGGGAATATTAATAAACTCACTAAACCACAGTTACATGTGTGTGTGAGTGAGTGGGACAGCACAATATCCTACCTGGTAAGAAGTACAGCTACATCATGGTGAAGTGGGTTTGTATCCAATTTTGGGTTGATACTCTTTTGCCATTTACAAAAGCTGGCTAAAGTCTTATCTGCATGATGGGTGATTTTCAGTTCTTGCTACAAAGAGAAGGGGAAATGAATTATCTTGTCAGAAGACTATCAATATCTGCAATAATTACAAAGCCTGGTAAAATAATTTAGTTTTAATAAATATTGCCATTGCTTGAAGTGAGAGACATCATTATAACAGTAATTTATTGAATCTTGGCATATGATTAAAGAAAGTTATTAGTGAAGATAGGTGAGGGGAGAAAAAAAACACAATATAATAGGAAAAATTGAGAAGTCTTCACAGGATGAAAAGAACATAAAAAGATACTGCAATATCTTTCTTAACTTAAAACATTATTTTTTTTCTACTTCGAAACAAATATACTTATACCTAAACCAAAGGATACATGAAGCATAATGATAACATTTAAACATTTTATCTTATTTGAAAGCACGCATACTGCAATTAATACTAATTCTTCTACAGAGTGCATTTTTGAATAGGAATAATTCAAGGCTGGGTACTTTGACTGGGCAGATCCCATTCCTGGAACTGAAGGCCCAGGAACCCTTCTGTTCTTTTGCAAGGCTCTAAAAACTCGCTCTTTCCTTCAAGCATCTTCCTTCAATGACATGATCAAGAAAAGGGCTAACCAGGAGACCACATTCTTACCTCCTCTTCTTCAAGAAGAACAAGCCGAACAAGCACAATATGGATTGCGTTGCCAATGCTCGGATCATGGAATAATCCTGCCACCTAAATCAAAGCCAGGCAATATGAAGTTAGTGGATTATTTTTCTTCAATATTTTTTTTCCTGTTAGTGATGATGTCAGGAGTGTTTCTGGAGGAGTGTTAAAGAAGTCACGATGACAGCCACAACCCTACCATTGAAGCTCCCCCACTTTTTTTTTTAATGTGCTTTGATTGGATGGTTGTGGCCAACATCTTGACTTTTTTTGACACATGTTCCTCAGTCCCATGAACACCATCAGTCGACATCAAGGTATCTGGCAGTAAACAAAAGATAGTTCCTTTCTCCAAAGAATTTACAAGCTAAATATGACTGGGGAAAGAATAAGAGACAAAAGGAAAAGGAAGAGATCCTGAGAGGTCAAATGGGAATTACTGGAACATATAATAACTGAAGCTGGGAGGGACAAGGGCAAATTAAACAAAATGCAAGGCAAACTCATACAGAGTTTATTTTGGTTGCTATGGATAAGGACTAAGTTGCTTAGATGAACTGGAAGTGTTGCTGCTTTTGCTAAAATATTTTGAGTAAAGTTTTACACTGTTTTCCCAATGTTATTTGGCATACTTCTTCAGGCATATTTAGGATAAAGAACTGTGCTTCCACAAAAGCATCGTTCTATTTTTAATAGAATGATGGGAGAAACGAATGAAACATAGGGGATAATCACATTCATTGAACTGAATCAAAAAGAATCAAAATCAAATCAAAATCAAAATCTAATCCACCCCCATAGAAATAAAGTATGTGACCCACCATATTTATGATAGTGAGAATATAGGATTCTACATTTTCGCTTCCATGATATTCAATCATTTTACTATCAGCAACTACCAAAGTCTCCACCCATCTTTCTTTACTGACAGAACGCCGGTAGGTTGTTCTTGGCATCACACGGTTCCTTTCCCACTTCATCCTTCGAAGTTCTTGCTGTTTGAAAAAAATTGATGTTTCTGAAACAAAAAAAAATATCAAATAGTGTTGAATGTATTTTCTGTGAAGGTATCATAAATAAGAGATTTCTCTTTCTCACCGTCTCATAATATTACATGGACTAGTATGGTCAAAGTTCTACCTCAAGACATGGAGAGCAACCAGAAGGACATGTCTCAAGAATCAGGCACAATTTTTCTAGGCCTCAGAACTTTGAGAAGGCAGGAACAGACCCATCATCCCTGACCTAGACTCACAAGACTCTAATCCAGACCAGTCCTTGGGAATATCATCATGTTGTCAGAAGTGTGTCTTTGGTGGCACTAACTCTTCAACATCACAAAAACAATTGATCAGAAAATCTATCTGGATATAGATAGAAAGTTAAGGATTTATTCTTATACCCCCTCTTTCTCTGTCATTCTTCCTGCTGCTTCCCCATGATCATTTTTTCCTGCTTTTGGTTCCCAGACCATTTGCTCTCTGGCCCTTCTCTTGGTAGGATATAATTAGCTCAGTGCTACTCTTCACCTATCCCTTTCACACCCAGGAAAAGAAGACTTTCATCTTCATCTCTGTAGACAGAACATCAGAAGAAAGAGAGAGGTAGAGGTACTCAGCAATGCCACAAGGCAATTGAAACAGGTAGGATTACTTGAAAGAAACTAAGCCTGATCAGAGTAACTGTATTTGCTCTGAGCTTATAAAATTTAGGAAGCAAATATGCCCAGCGAACCTGCTGGAACAATTTTCCTTTTTAAAAAATATGACACTTTGTAATAAACATAAAATGACATACGTTCACTTTATATTCTTCAAGCTAATAGCAAAAAAATAGAAAAGCAAAATACTGAAATAAAATAAAAAATAAAGTATAATAAATCATCTTCAAAGAGGAACTCTTGATAGCTTTCTTTTCCCTTACCTTCCATTATCTTTATTCACTAATCACTACTTAGGAATTGGTCCTTTTCTTGAAATATGAGAGATTATTGCTTATATTTATTTAAATAGTTTATTTTTAAAGTAATTTCTTAACTTTTTTCCCCCTAAATTCATATCTCAAATTTCTACGCCTGCCTTGTTTTGTGATATATTGTATGTAAGGGAGTTATTGAATTTAATTAAACTTTTAATATGAGTACATACAGTTTTGCCATTACTGCACAGGTTAGAAAGAGGGCTGAGAAAATATCCACAGACCCATCAAATCCTGAACATAAACCATTTCAACTCCTCACCTTAGAATACTGCTATGGGGCATTGCATGCCAAAACAAGTAGACCCTGAGACAGTTTTTTCCCTCACGCCATCACTCTGACAAATACTAATATCTAACCATGTAGTTTGGCTATCTTACTTTTATCCTTCTCATCTGTTCCACTACCTTCTCTATTGGTATTATTATGATTATTATCCTGTTATTAAGTTTATTATTACTTTGTTATTTTGCATGTACACTAAGAGCTTATACACTGGAGACAAATTCCTTGTGTGTCTAGTCATATTTGGCCAATAAAGTATTCTATTCCAATAAAGTATTCTATTCTATTCTCCAACGTTAGTCTTCAATTCTTGAATTGTTGACAGGATTTAATGCTAGAACAATCTCAATTCATGACTCTTGGTTCTAAAACTCCTTGGTACTAAAAAATCTCTGCTGTTTGGTTTGATGGTCACCTTTGTGATTCATTTTCTAACTTTGGACTGAAATTATGATATTAAATTCAATTTGATGAATTTTGTAGATAACAATCCACAATAACAAGTTGCAGTTTGCAAGGTCAGAATAAGCAACAGCATTTAAGAAAAGTGCCTGTTGAACTTTAAACTTAAGCCTCAAAAATGAATTTTCCACAGCAAAAAAAGCACAGAAAACTATTCATTCAGTCCCCAGATGTCAGGCTTAGCCCAAGAATGAGGTAGTGAATCAAAGTTCAGTTCTTCATTTGATTACACACAATAGACAGAATCTTGCCAGACTAAACCCTTACTACTGACATTCTAATGGAGATACCCTGGGAGATTTTGTGAGATTTTTGTGGCTATCCTTACTCTTTCCCTCTGTCTCCTATTTATCTCTGAGCTGTGCTGCCTTTTGTCTCACCCTCTTTCCCTCCTTGGAATGTGCTCCTTCCTTCCTGGGAAACTGCCCTTCACCCTTGACTTGAACACTGGGTGCTATCTAACAAAATGAAATTCAATGGTGAAAAAAGTAAGGTTCTACATTTAGGCAAGAAAAACCAAATGTACAAGTATAGTATAGGGGGTACCTTGCTCAATAGTAGTAACTGTGAGAGGGATCTTGGAGTCCTAGTGGACAATCACTTAAATATGAGCCAGCAGTGTGCTACAGCTGCCAAAAAAGCCAACACAGTGCTGGGCTGCATTAACAGAGGGATAGAATCAAGATCACGTGAAGTATTAATACCACTTTACGATGCCTTGGTAAGGCCACACTTGGAATACTGCACCCAGTTTTGGTCACCATGATGTAAAAAAGATGCTGAGACTCTAGAAAGAGTACAGAGAAGAGCAACAAAGATGAATAGGGGACTGGAGGCTAAAGCATATAAGGAACGATTGCTGGAATTGGGTATTTCTACTTTAATGAAGAGAAGGACAAGGGGGAACATGATAGCAGTGTTCCAATATCTCAGGGGCTTCCACAAAGAAGAGGGAGTCAAGCTATTCTCCAAAGCACCTGAGGGCAGGACAAGAAGCAACGGATGGAAACTAATTAAGGAGAGAAGCAACCTAGAACTAAGGAGAAACTTCCTGACAGTTAGAACAATTAACCAATGGAACAACCTGCCTCCAGAAGCGGTGAATGGTCCAACACTGGAAGTTTTTAAGAAGAGACTGGACAGCCATCTGTCTGAAATGGTATAGGGTTTCCTGCCTGCCTGAGCAGGGGGTTGGACTCGATGACCTTCAAGGTCCCTTCCAACTTTATTATTATTATTATTATTATTATTATTATTATTATTATTATTATTATTATTATTATTATTATTATTATTATTATTATTATTATTATTATTATTATATTATTATTATTATTATTATTATTATTATTATTATTATTATTATTATTATTATTATTATTATTATTATTATTATTATTACTGTAGCCCATCATACCAAAGATAGAGAGGCAAAAATCTCCTGTCCCTGTCTCACACAAAGAATACCTAGCACGGAATCAAACAACTTAACTTCCATGGGCTGGAATGGGCTCCACCCTACTGGGGTTTCAAAGAACCCTGAAGATGTGCCTCTTCAACCAGGATATTGGTGAAGACAACTGACACCCCTTCTTTTGTCTTGTCCGCATCCAGATTTGTTTCTCTACCATCTTGTTTCCTGGATTTGTGTTTCTTATCTTGTTACTTGTTCTTAAATGTTTTGAATAATTTGTAAACTAGCTGGGAGTTTTTACTCCACCAGCATATAAATTTAATAAAGTCCTTGATTATGGTCACAACTGAGACTGGAATTTCTGTTGTTAAGGATGAAATAAGGGTGAGGAATATTTAAAATATTTACAAACAGCCACCAGGAACAGGACATAGAATAATCTATTGTTCCTGTGATGCATTTCCTGTTCCTGTTGTATGCTCTCGCCCTCCCTGTAACAACATGGCTTCCGCACAGTAACACCTTGTATTGTATTTACTGACTCCACATGAAACATGGTGTCAGAAGCATCTGAATCTGCACTGTCTCCACACATTTGGTGCATGCCAGTCTAGCACTTGTGGCCCTATCCTGGAAGCCGAGCATTTGAAGCCAGGAAACCAGCATCATGGCAGCTGCTAACAGCATTCCACTGCCTGAGGCAATGAGAGTTGTGGAGATTGCAGCAGTAACTGGGCCAACTTCAGAGCAGAGTTTGAAGTTTACTCCCTAGCCACAGGCTTAAATGACAAACCGGCAACAGTGCAGGCAGCCACACTGAGAAGGCTCATGGATAGCAAATGCCTCCATATTTACAAGCAAAATTTAACCCTTACAGAGGAGCAAAAGAGTGATACTAAAGACATCCTACATGCCTTAGAAGTCTTTTTTCAGACTTTCTAAAAATGTCATATACGAGAGAGATATATTTGGCAGCTGTAAGCAAGAAGAAGGTGAAGCAATAGACAGTTTTGTCACATGGCTAAGAGAAAAAGCTGCAAGCTGTGATTATGGCTCTCTGAGACATGAACTTATTCATGATAAAATAGTTCTGGGTATCACTAGTGAAAGCACACACTGCTGCCTTTTGAGGGAACATAATTTAAGCTTACAAGCTGCAATTGAGATATGTTGTACCGCAGAGCTTTGGAGCAGAATAAACAGATTGACAGTGTCAATGCAGCCTCCAAACAACGGCTAAGCATAAATAACCACCAGCACAAGATCATCATAAAATTCATCTACACAATTCACCTGGGAACAACCCAGTATCATGCAAGTACTGTGGCAGTGTACATGTATGAGAGAAAGAGCAGTGTCCTGCATATGGGGAAACCTACAGTGCATGTGGAAGACCAAATCATTTTGCACGAGTGTCTCTTTCAAGTAAAATGGAAGTGAGGAAGCTGCACACAACTGAGCAAATGTCAGATCCTGAGGATGCACACTTGTTTACCACCAATGTGATTTACACAAAAGAATGCATTGGTGATGTAAAGTCTAAGGGCAAAAAATGGTTCGTAAATGTCAGATTAAACAATATAATCCAACCCGGCCAACTGGACTTGGGTGCAATGTGTGATGTCATGAGTTTAAAGGACAAAATGAAACTGGACCTGAGATACCTCTTCAGCCTAGTAGACCAAACTCAAGTTATATTTAGGAGAAGTAATGGAATCATTGGGACTTATCCAAACAGAATGCAACATACGTGGGGTTTCCACAAACTTGAATTTGAGATTGTGGAAGCCGATCATAAACCACTATTGTCTGGATCAACATGTGAGCATCTGGGTTTGATGCAGTTCACATTCCGG